AGCTATTCTTGTTTTGCAAATGAGGAAACTGAGGCTTAGAGAACTGCAGGGAGTCTCATCTGAGGTCAGGATGCTCCTCCTTGAAGCCGGTATCTGCAGGTGCCAAGACCCAGGCTCTCCAGAGGGTTTTCAGATACCTCTGCCAACACAACTGACTCCCTTCTGCTCCCCTCCCCTGGGTCAGGGGCAGAAGCTCTGCACATAGAAGAGAAACTCCTTGGGGTTTTCTGATCTTTGAGCTGAGGGCCATGGAAAGATGAGAGGGGGATTTGGGACAAAACAATGAGCAAAACACCAGCTGTGACTCAAGGGAGCAAGGGGGACTGGCTAAACAAGAGTGTCTAAGGCTGGAAGGGCCTCCAGTTCCCCCAGGCCAGCAAGGAAAAGCAAAGGAATTAGGGGAAGCAGAGGAGGGTGTTGGGTTCATGACTTGGGCAAGAACACTGACATCACTTCTTCATTGGAATGAGGATCCCATCTAATCCTATTATTTTATATTCAGGGGAGGGCAGGCTCTCAACAGAGATACACTGCATAGGGGCTAGAGATGGATTAGGGGCTATGAGCAGAGGACCAGGGCTCGTTTCCTAACATCTTCATGGAGGCTCGCACCCTCCTCTAACTCCAGTTTCAGGGAATCTCATGTCCTCTTCGCGCCTCACTGAGCTTCAGACATACACGGTGCACAAAAATGCATGCAGGCTAAACATCCACACATATAACATTTTAAAAAATGAACACTGGCTCTATGGTCAGGGTGCATAAGTTCCTTGAACTTGTGTGAATCTGAGCCTGCGAACTCTACACCTCAGGCTGGAAGAGTCAGGGAAGTCCTCACACAGCTTGTCTTGATAAAATGTTGCAGGCTTTTTCATACTGTTACAACACAAATTCCCATGTCCATTTCCTAGCTCTTTCTCCTACTTCTGGCCATCGTATTATTTGTGATAATGAAAAGAGTTTGTCCTGCTCTGGGAAATTGATCAGGGACACAAGCGTCCTCATTGTGGGAAGAAGGCTGTGTTGAGATGTCAGAACCCAAATCTGGACAGTGAGATACAGGAGAGGGCCTGTCTCCATTGCAATCTGTCCACAGCCAGCTTCGATGGGGTCCCCTCCCTTTCTCCCAGTTCTTCTTTCTAGGGAGGGTTGTGTTCAGGACTTAGGGGCATAGGGCATTGTTCTGTGAGGTATGGTAGGGAGCTGTGCACTCAGAGGCAGGCCTGGGAAAAGGTGGGTGTGGATGGAAACCCCGAAAGTAGTGACCTGAGAAACCACAGAAGTGGAGACAGGCTATGCTCGTTTCCAGGCCCTGCCCTGCCTGGGGGCATCCAGCCTGAAGATGGAGACTCTGAGGTCAGGGTTGAGAACCTTCGCTTTAGTCAGGCGGATCTGGATTCAAATCTCTCTTCTCTCAATTAACCACTGCTAGGTAAGCTCCCAGGCCTCTTCTATGCTTCTTCCCTCTACGCAGGAATTATTAACAAACATCTATATACCAGGTACTGAAAAGTGGTCACAGGCTGAGACAGTACTGGCAGAGAATCCCGGCTAATCAACACAACCGTGCCAGGAAATGGGGGTGATCAGAGTAGCCACTGGCAGTGGGACTTTGATGGGGATTGAGGAAGTGGGCCCTTCTGATTGAAAAGAGCGTGCCAGCGTCAGCCATGCATGGTGGCACTGTGATCCCCGCACTCAGAAGGCTAAAGCAAGAGAATCACCATTTTGAGACAAGACTGGGCATCATGAATTGACCCTGTCTGAAAAAATAGACTAGAAAAAGCCAGCTTTTATTAATCCCATCCCAGATTTTTTTCAATGGCACCTCATGGAACTGAAACATTGGAACAATTAATATCTTGACATTTGCCCTGTGACTTAGGTCATTCCCACACACATTAGTTTATCCAGGTCGTCCTGAAGACATGGAGACCAAGATTCCTGTGTTGCATTTTGAGATTATAGCCTTGGCAAGCCAGGCACGGCGGTGCACGGACTATAGACGCAGCACTTGAGAAGGGAAGGCAGGAAAATGAATGGTTCAAGGTCATCTTCCATGGCCTTTTTCAAGCATGAGGCCAGCCCAAACATGAAATTCTGTCTTAAAAAAAACAAAACAACTAGCTTTGCAAGTAGGTGCTTTATTTCCTCCAATTTCTTGGAAAAGAAACAGTTGAGATCGAATCCCAGTAAAATTCCCCTGGTCCATACACTCTCTGCGACTGCAACAAGGAGGGGCTGGGAAACTCCGTGGGCCCCTGGGACAGGACTTTGTGGACACTGAATCTCAGAGGTTCCCCAGCTTCCTGGAGTCAGCCAATTGAGATGTGCTCAGGGAGGCCTTCGCATCCGCTGCGTGACCGACCCTCCCGGGCTCACCGCCAGGAGGGTTAGTGGCGCTGGCAGCCGCCAAGGCCGGGAGGACTCCTAGGGGACCCGCCCCGGGACTGCACGTCCTTCCCGTCCAGCCCACGCTCGGGCATCCAGGCGGGGTCTGGACCCACCTTTCCTGGCTAGGAGCCATTGGCCACTGGGCAGAGCGGGTGGCTGGCTCGTCCCCTCCCTTAGCCTATGGGGTGTGGGGGAGTCCACCGCGGACCCCATCGGGAGTTGAGCACCCTCCTCCACCCCATTCCTGTGACTTTCAACCACCCTCCTGAGCCTTTCTCCCCAACCCAGACAGCCGGATGAGGAGATGACAGCTAGAAAAAAACAAAACAAAACAAAACAAAACACTAAAGTACAAACGGGTTGCCTGAGAGGGGAAGCAGCCAGGACCAAGAGTTACAAACGGGATCTCGGGGTTCAAGTGGGGTCCCCAGCCATCTCCATAAGTTGGCTTCGAAGCTGAGGGTGTGGTGCTTTCCCTTGCTTGACTCATCCGGCCCGCGTCCTTACTTGCAGGTGCTCAAAGTCTCTGAGGACCGAGGACCTCAGCTAGGTGTGTGCCAATGAAATTAGATAGGGCACAGCTCACAGAAAATGTATTTCCTGACCCAGGGTCTCCAAGACTAAAAAGAGGCATGGGAGAGAAAGCCTGATATGTTATGTCATCCTCCCCAGGAAGGAAAGGGTTCCTGTGGCAGTTGACTGTCCAACTTTGTTAGTTGTTAGTTAGTTGTACAAATGTGCTCGTCCCCTGCCTGTGGCCTGTCACTACAGCTGCTAAGGGAGAGGCACAGCCAGCTGCCAGTTCTTGAAATAAGAAGGCCTTTGCATCCTAGCTGCAGTCTGTCCGTCTGCACCAGACTTTACAGTTTGTGAACTGTGAACAAAGCTATCTCATACTGGAACAGTGCATGAATCAAATCACCTGGGTCCTCCCCCACTTAGCAATTAGGTGAATTCGTTCTTGTGTTTGGTCTGTAAACCATGATCAATACTGAGACCACTCAGTTGGGTTAGTGTGGAGAGGAAGAAGCAAATACAGGCACAGACACTGTTTCCTGGCCCTGTGATGGGTTAGGATTGAACCCTTGTGTATAACAGAAGCCCAAGAGTTCCAGAAGGTTCTCCAGACTTGTCCTTCTGGAGCAGACTCCAATGTGTGTGACCAGCTTCCCTGTCCCATTGGTACTGCTGGGACCCAGGAAATATTCCAGCAATTTGGTGTTAAAGCAGTGATGTATAACCTTGACCCTGCACTGGAATGATCAGGAGGGCTTGTCAAAACAGGTTGCTGTGGGATTGGGGTGGGCGATGCTTCAGCTGATAAAGCACTTGTTGCACAAGCCCAAGGATCTGAGTTTAAGTCCCAGTACCCGTGATAGGAAAGAAAAATTCTGGGCACACCTTTTTTAATATTTTAATTTTAAATAGCTTGCTTCACATGTCAATCCCAGTTCCCTCTCCCTCCCCTCCTCCCGCACCCCCCCCCCCCACACCTTTAACCCAGCACTCGGGAGGCAGGGACAGGTGGATCTCTGTGAGTTTGAGGTCAGTCTGGTCTGCAGAGTGAGTTCCAGGACAGCCAGAGCCATTATACAGAGAAACCCTGTCTCAAAATAAACAAACAAAAATTTTGGGCAAAGTGATGAATTCCTGTAATTCTAGGACTGAACAGGTAGAGGCAGGAGGATCCCTGGGGTTAGTTCCAGTTTCAGTAAAGGACCCTGTCTCAAAAAATAAGGTAGAGAGCCAGTGAGATGGCTCAGGCGGTAAGGACGCTTATAGAATGGTCTAGAGTCAGCCTCTGGGACCACAACAAATGGAGAGAACCAACTCCCAAGAGTTGTCCTCTGACTCCCCCCACGCCACACACACTAAGTAAATATAATTTTCAAAAGCCTAATGTAGAGAGTGACACAGAAAGACAGCCAATGTTGACCTCTGGCCTCCATGCACACACGTGTACGCGTACATGCACATACGCAAATATGAATGTGTGCGCACACAGACAAAAAGGTTACTGAGTTTCCCATCCTGCTTCTATGAGTTTCTGATGCAACAATGATTTCTGTTTCACTAAGTTTTCAATCAAAACTGCTGCTGCAGTTCCCATAGGCAGCAGCTTTCCCCTTTCCCTGTCTCACCACTGAGTGCCTTGACCAGACCAGGCATGGGCCCCAGGGCCAGAATGCCAAGTACCCAGAATGCCCTGGCAAGGCTGCAGGGTGCCGCTCAGCCACACCTCCATCACTGGGGACTTTCAGAGTTTTTTCTAGGAGTACAGGGATCCTCTAGTCGCAGGTTACAGAGGCCTTCCTGGAAGCAGGCTGGTGCCAGAGACTTCAAACAGTCAAGCAGCGTTTCAGGTGCCTTGGAGAAATCTGGGGAGGGGGTTGCTGAGGGCACCCGAGACTGGGACTAAAAGTGTTTCTTGAGCTTCTTAGGGGACAAGATGCTGGAAGGAACGAGGGACACCACAGCTTCTGGGTGCACTTTAAAAAAGACAGAGGCCACAGAATGCTGCCCAGCTGTTTAACGGACTAATGGAAGGGAACTGAGGTCCCCTCAGCTCACTCATGTCTCCTCCATTTGGGGCCTCCTCTTCACAGACAACCAGGACAATGGAGGAAAACCGGAAGGCAGCAGCAAGGCCCGGAAGGAAAGGACCGCCTTCACCAAGGAGCAGCTGCGGGAGCTAGAGGCCGAGTTCGCCCACCATAACTACCTGACCAGGCTGCGTAGATACGAGATCGCAGTCAACCTGGACCTTTCAGAGCGGCAGGTGGGGGCCCCTGCTTGTCAGAGCTTCACTGCTGTCTATCACCTCCCTTCCTACACCCCTGCCTGGACACCCTTCCCATGCCCCTGCCTGGACACCCTTCCTACACCCCTGCCTGGACACCCTTCCTACACCCCTGCCTGGACAGCCTTCCCACACCCCTGCCTGGACACCCCTGCCTGGACACCCTTCCTACACCCCTGCCTGGACACCCCTGCCTGGACACCCTTCCTACACCCCTGCCTGGACACCCTTCCTACACCCCTGCCTGGACACCCTTCCCACGCCCTTGCCTGGACACCCTTCCTATGCCCCTGCCTGGACACCCTTCCTTTCCTGTCCAGGCCAGTGGTTCTCAACCACAGCTGTACCTGACAATCAACCATCCCAGGGAGAATTATCTTAGTCCCACCCACGGAGGTGACTGTAATTGGTCTGGGATGGAGCTTAGGCAGCCCAGGTTTCCAAAGGTCTCCCAGGTAATTCTCATGTGAACAAGGATTAGAACAGCTGAGATTTGATTTCCCCCAAACTTGAACCAGCATTTGCCTCCGATTCACCTGGCAATTGTTCAAATGGAAATTGTGAAAGCCAGGTATTGTGGCCTCTGCCTGTAAACCCCAGCACTTGGAAGGTAGAGGCAGGAGGATTGTGAGCTCAAGGCTACCGTGGGCTACACAGGGCGCTGAGGCCAGCCTAAGGAACTGTCTTCAAAGAAATCAAAAGATGGGCTTGGGATGTAGCTCACTGGTAGAGTGCTTGCCTAGCATGCAGGAAACCCTAGGTTTAATCCCGCATCACAAACAGGGCATGGTATCATATGTCTGTAATGCCAGCATGCTGGGGAGGCTGAAGTCAGAGGACCATAGGTTCAAGGCCAGCCTGGGCTACATGAGATCCAATTTTAAAAAAAGGTAAAATGTAGATTCCAGGGAACAGATTTGCAGTAATAATGAGTGGAACTGAGAGTCTGCATCAGAATTAGTCCCCAGATATGCAGCTGGGTCCTGGGACACTGAGGACAAGTTCCCTGACCCTTGACTTGGCATTTCCTTGAAGCATCACACCTGCTTTTGTGTGTCATAACAGTGGAAATAACAGCATATAATAGCAGTCTCCAGTTGCTAAGGTGCTCTGTAAGGGTGTTGGGTTGTGAGTCAGAAGGTTTAGATTCAAATCCTGCCTCTGCCACATCCTGGCCCCTGTGACCTCTGAGTTTCCATCTCTGCAGTAGGATCACAATCCTAATGTCATGTGATAACAAAGGTCAGATCTTTCTTAAAAATGTGTTGATCAGAGCTATAGAAACTATAAGGTGATTTTATCAGTGGAGAAGGGTGAGGCTGGTAGTTTTGTTCTCAGTTCTTTGGGGAGCAGAGGCTGGGAGACTGGGGGCTTGTTGTGGAGGAGCTGGCAGGGCACATAAGAGGAGGGACAGTGCAGAGTGATGTTCAGAGACTCCCCCCCCGCCTGATGTCTGGGGACACAGGAATGCTGCATCTGGGCAGATCTGTGTGTTCTCCCTTCCCTCCCTGGATCCATGGCAGGTGGAGAGCAACAGGTGAGGGTCCCAGGCCTTGGACCCACTTGAGTTACAGCGTGTGAGGGGTCACCCTGGCCCTGAGCTGACCCGAGGGTCCCAGACCTTGGACCCACTTGAGCTACAGCGTGTGAGGGGTCACCCTGGCCCTGGACTGACCCGAGGGTCCCAGACCTTGGACCCACTTGAGTTACAGCGTGTGAGGGGTCACCCTGGCCCTGGACTGACCCTGCTCCTTTGCTTCCTCCCTCAGGTCAAAGTGTGGTTCCAGAACCGGAGAATGAAGTGGAAACGTGTGAAGGGGGGTCAGCCTGTGTCCCCTCATGAGCAGGACCCAGAGGATGGAGACTCAGCAGCGTCTCCAACTTCAGAGTGAGATGCTCCAAAGACCAAACCCCAGGAGAGACTGAACCCCTTTCCTCCTCCCTCCACCCAGTCCCACCATCACCTCTTCTGAACCAATCCAGAGAAGCCTCCATGTCTCATGTTCTCTTCGATGTGAAATTACCCAGCATGTGGGAACCTTGAATTCCCCAGAAGTTGCAACCCCTTCCCCGGGGCTTCAGCTTCCCACACTCTCTTGAACGTCACTGAACCTCCTGGTCTAGGGAAATCTAGGCACAGCATCTAGGATACTCTTTTTCTGGATCTCTTGGCTGCTACCTCCTGCCATCCTCCTCCTACATCAAGGTCTCCTCTGGGTCTAGCCCCCACCTGGCTTGTGCAGAATTCCTTCCTTGGTACCAGCTGGTGACTTGTGAAGGAATAACTCTCTCCAGATGTTCACACCATTGAGCTGAAGGCTAGAAAGCAGCCCCTGAATCTAAGGATGCAGAGGATAACACAAGAGCTGATGGACAAGGACTGACCTAGACATGTGGACCTCTGGAGGAGAAAGTCTTCAGCCTGCAGCCTCCTGTGCTCTCTAAGGACTCTGAGTACAAATGAGGACAGGAAAGCAGCCCCTCTTCCTCCATGGGATGCCTCTTGGCCTATCCTGCGTGTTTCCTAAGTCTGTTTTGTGAGAATTCGCAGGTTCACACACATGCGCAGCTCAGACTTCAAACCCAACTTCTAAGGATGCTCCTTCGAGGATTGGTGGGCAAAGAGCCTTGGGCAACAGCAGCCTTGGAAGAGACCCCTGTGTGCCTCAGTATTAGATGCTGGGTCTCCCAATCCCTGCTGATGTTACAGAAGGAGGTCAGCAAGTATTTTAATTTCTTGCATGTAGATTTGATCATGAGTGTTGAAAAATAATCCCAGTTACCCCCACACACACAAGACAAAGCTATGGAAAATGATTGTCAAATGGGATAACAGGTTAGAGCATGTATCATTTTTCCCATAAAGTATACTTCCTGTTTTTTTCTTTCTAGGATTACATCAAGCTAATTGTGCAAGGTCAATTAACTTTGTAAGAAAACTCTCAGAGAAATAAATCAACAAAAAAATGCAAGGTTTCCAGCCTCTTGCTTTATAGAATTTGGAGCCTTGGCTCTCATGTGTAATGCTGATTCCCATCTAATGACGACCCAGACAGTGTCTGTGAGGAAAAAGAGAAGGGAGAGAAGTCACTTAGACCAAAGCACCTCCCACAGGTTCTTCAAAAGGTGGGTGCTAGGCTGGAGAGATGGCTCAGGGACTAGGAGCACTTGGTGCTCTTTCAAAGGACAGAGTTCAATTCCCAGCACAGACATCAGACTCAGGTACTGCCCAACTGCCTGTAACTCCAGCACCAGGGGGATCGGTCATCCTCTATGGGCACAACATGCAAATGTACATCCTCTCTCTCTCTCTCTCTTCCTCTCTGGAGACAACTCAAGCTGTCCTACTTGGTGATTTTCCAGACAGTGTGAGACTTTGTTGGAGAAGGAAAAACGTGGGGCGGGAGAGATGGTTCAGTGGTTAAGAACACCGTCTGCTCTTCCACAGGACCCAGATTTGATTTCCAACGCCCACATAAGGCTCACAACCATCTGTAACTCCAGTTACCAGGGATCCAACACCTCCTCTGGCCTCCTTGAGTTCTAGGCACTCACATGGTGCACATACACACATGCAGGCAAATACTCACACACATAAAATAAAACTTTGAAAGTTTAAGTGAATAGTGCCCAGAAAATGACACCTGAAGTTATCCTCTTGTTTCTACATGCATGTGCACACAAATGTATGGGCGCCCACACATGTTCACATGCACACACCTGCACAAACACAGAGAAGAATTTAAAACTATATCAAAATAGGGCGGTGATATGGTTCAGCGAGTAAAAGTCCTTGCCACCAAGTCTGATGATCTGAATTTAGTCCCCATCCACATGGCAAGAGGGAGCTGACTCCTGCCAGTTGTCCTCTGACCTCACGTGTGCTCCATGGTACACGTGCACACACACATATACATAAAGGAATAAACAAGTGCAATTGTGTAAAGGTGGCCCAACTTACTTTTCAGTTGGAGGGCAAAGCCCAACATTAGCCAACAACATCCATTTCTGAAACAGAAGAAATAATCAGTCCTTCAGTGCGAGAGTTGTAATTCCTCAAAAATTCCCGCAGTGACTAAGTCTATTGAGTCTGACAGTGAAATGAAGGTTTGCATACACATCACACAAATGCTCTCCAGGTTCTTTTGCACGCTCCCCTGCGCCTCTCCTTCTCCATCATTTGACTCATCAATTCAGGGTGGACTGTTGCTGGGACTAACTGCTCTTCATGTTGGTAAAACTTTCCACTGAGTATGGCAGCATTTACCTGTAATCCAAGCACTTGGGAGGCTGAGGCAGGAGGATCAGGGGTTCAAGGCCAGCCTTAGTTACATCAAGAGTTTAAGGCCAGCTGGGCTACTTGTGAACCTGCCTCAGGGAAGAAGAGAGAGATTGAGAGAGAGAGAGAGAGAGAGAGAGAATGGGATTTATCAGATTGAGTAGTGCAATGGGGACTGAGTAGTCTAGCTATGGTCTCTATATGCTAGAGAAGCTGAGAACCCTGAAGCTATCCTGTCCACAAAAGCCCCAGTCTTGCACTGATGTCAGTGGAAAATGGAGGTGATGGCAGCAGCAGTCATAGACACACACTCAGCCAGGCAACATGCCCCCTCCCTGCCTTTCTATATCTGATCTATCCATTGGAAGGTGCTGCCCACTCTCGGGGTGGGTCATCTCACCTCTTTGGAAACTCACTCACAAACATGCCCTATGTTCTCTAGATGATTCCAGATCCCGGCAAGTTGACAATCAACATAATTCCTGGTACATGGCTTGGATCTCTACTTTTGCATGGAAATCTTGTCCATTAAGAGCTATGTGCAGCCGGGCGGTGGTGGCGCTCGCCTTTAATCCCAGCACTCGGGAGGCAGAGGCAGGCGGATCTCTGTGAATTCGAGGCTGGGCTGGACTGACAGCCTCAAAAACAATACAGAGAAACCCTGTCTCGTAAAACAAACAACAACAACAACAAAAAAAGAGCTATGTGCTCTCCAGCCATGCAAAGGATCCTATGCCAGCTAAGCCCTCCTGCCCAGTCACTAGTGAGGCCAGTATCATTTCATACTCTCTGGGCCACCTCACATGTTTCTTTGTTCCTTGGATGCCCCTTCTCAAATTCATTTCCCACAAACCACGAACCTATTCATATTTTTATATACCCTCAAAATGATCCCAAACCCACACCCTTGCCTCTAATGCTGCTAAGACATCTGTAGCTGCTCTTCATCTGTGTCTTCCTATCTTGTGTCTGTGCATTTATGGTCACTATTTCAATCTGTCGTCCTTCTATTTGGAAGGAAGGGAATGTATTTCTCTGACCATTTTATCCCTAGCTACTGGTGTGATGCATGAAACATACTGCTTCAAAATATAGCAGTGGAATGGTTGGATAGACAGATGGATAAATGAGTAGAAAATGGATTGATGGACAGATTGACAGATGGGAAAACTGTGTATGAATGGACAGATGGACAGATAGAGGAACAGATAGGATGTTGGATGGATGAACAAATCAATGGATGAATAGACAGAGGAATGGATGGATGGATGGATGGATGGATGGATGGATGGATGGATGGATGTGATAGGATGTCCTTCTGTATATGTGTTTCTCTTATTGGTTGATGAATAAAACACTGTTTGTCCAGTAGAGGCAGGAAGATAGGCGGGGCTAGGAGACAAGTAGGATGCTGGGGAGAGAGACAGAGAGGTGCAGAAAAGGGATGCCATGTAGCCATGAAAGGAGTAACAGATCTGGGCATTCTCCGGTAAGCTTAGACCACGTGGAAATACATAGATTTATAGAAATGGGTTAATATTTAAGACAGAGATAGCCTATAAGAAGCCCTAGCCATTGGCTAACAGCTTAATTATATTTATTTATTATTATTATATTTATAATATATATATTATAAATATATAATTATATTTAAGTCTTTGTGTACTTATTTGGGGCAGAAGTGGTAGCGGGACCAGGCTAGGACAAGAAACTCCAGCAATATGGGTGGGTGGGTGGGTGGGTGGATGGATGGATGGATGGATAGGTGGCTATGTGGCTGGATGGATGAAGAAACTGTTAAATTAGTGCTATTGTGTGGCTTCTTGGCTCCAAGACAAATAGACCACTAACTAGAAGCTATGATCTGAAGATCAGCTAGACAATGAGACACAGTCCAGGCTTTCAGGGATCACAAATCTGGCAGACCATGCCCTTAGGACTCCGCCTGATTCTACAGTCCAGGAGAACTCTTTCTTGCTGTAGTCATGGGACCAAGAATCTCTGCCAATCACTTTGTCACCTTCCCATTCCTGTCTGAAGCTAGGACAACACTTTTTCCCTTTGACCTATGGTTGGCAAAGAATCAGCTTCCAGGGCTTGACCCCTGCCACCAACAAGGCTCAGGGGCAACGCCTGATAAGAAACTTGTCAACCATTTCCACACATCTGGAAGGGTGATGCTTAATAGCTTAAAGGTGACATCAGGGTTGGGAGTCATATCCGATTGAACACAGAGAGACATGACCTAACTCGTCTCTCACCATGGTTCTGGCTGCGAGAGCTTGTCTTTATTAATTTCCTCCTTGGAGTTGCTGGCTCAGAATTCCAGGCTGTCCCCAGAGCTGGGGCCCATGGCTGGGCTTAACTCCAGCGTGACTAGGAAGGCAGCAGGCTGAGCTGGGACTGAGTAGGGTACCCACCATGGAGTCAGAGCTCTTCTTGGCTGACGTTGGTTTCTATCACCAAACAGATGTCATGCTTGAGGGAAGCAAACCCATGTTTTCTGAAGGGTTCCTGGATCACATTGCAGGTTCCCTGGTGGCTACAGGGATGGTTTTCTTTGTGCTCTTAAAGGTGATTTAAACCCAGTTTTCCAGGAACACAAATCCTTTCTAAAGCACCCAGTGCACCTGGCTGGAGAGCTGCAGCCTTGTGTCTGAGCTTGTGGCTGTCTGGGGGAGCAAGCTGGCTTTGGTTATTTTCCTTTCACATTCTGCACTGTAGGCAGAGAAATCCAAATTCTTCATTGCCTTCCTCCTCGGGTCCCACCTTGCATGTACACACACACACACACACACACACACACACACACACACACACACACATGCACGCACGCACCCACACGAGCCTCCAGACTGACAGGCTTAGGGGCCAGCACAGGCTCTGTACAGATTAAGCTGTGTGGTCCTCATAAAGTCAACTACCTTCCCTGAGCTTCAGCTTCCCTGTCTCTAGACCTATAGAAGTTGAGGTCACACTGTATTTATAACAATGTGAGGATGAGAGTCACTGGTTTCATGACAGCATTTCTCTAGTGTTGACTGTAAGTCCTGGGTACAGCGAATGGAGGCAGACAGATGAGTTGAAGCAGAGTCAGGCTGGCCCAGGGATGTCAGGGTCACATCTATAGAATCTAGCACAGCGCCTGGCTCAGAGAGGGCCTTCAGTGGGCGTGAGCTCTGCTCCTGGCCTCTCCTCGTTGAGACCACAACCAGTGAGCCCTAGGGAGGGTCAGCATCTATAGTGATGTCCCTTGGTAAGAATGAGAGACTAAAGACCCAGAACGCCAACTAGCAGCGTCCTCCCAAAAAGTCTGTCAGCTGCTCCCTCAGTCACTGTCATCTCTCTCCAGTCCACTTTCCCTTCCCTCTGTCTTCCCATGGCTCTGCTCTCTGGGATCCCATGTGCCTTCCCCAAATAATCACCTTATAATAGATCTCGCCAGTGGGGTAGAGACCTTGAACATGCCCTGCTACATGGGTGAGTCTCCTTGCAGCTGTGGGAAGTAAGTGTGAAGCTTACGTCTCTTGTGAGAGAACATGGAGAACCCAGCCTCTTTTAAGTTAGTTTTAAAGGCCTTTCAGGGCTCTAGTCAGAGTCTTGCAGTGCCTAAGAGGACTATGAGAGGATAGAGGATAGAGCCTCCCTCAGGCAGGACCAAGCTCTTTCAACTCAAGAATCTGTGACCTT